TAAATATTGTATTATACTATATTGATGCGCATTTTTACTTTTCATTGTTATTTTAAGTATACCCATATTGAATAATTCATATTAATATGTAAATTATCCATTAACATTGTGTAAGCATAAAAATAATATGTTTCATACTTTTATAATAATGAGTATTATTAAAAAAGTCATAGATTAGCGGAACACCGCGGGATTTTACTTTTGTGCATCAGCGCAAATTTTGGTCAAAAGATGGTGTGCACAATTCTAGATAGAGTTCACAATCGTACAAATATGGCTCAGATCCATTATTCATGTGGCTTATTTGAATAATGTACTGTAATAGTAAATCTGAACTATTTTACAAAGTTTATTTTTACATTCCGCATATTATGCAAAAAAAAAGTACAGATTGTTCACCTTATCTCGCACATCACTACGAGATATTGGAGAAATCCGCAAATTGCCTATCAACACAATATATTATACATTGTAAAATTAATTAATAAATGAATTATTAAATTTAATTGGTCGTTTTAAATCTAGTAACTGAATTTAAATCTTTAACTTTCGGTTGGCTCCAACGATCAATACGCACTTGTTATCACTCATATCTGACATGTCAGATGTAGTTATAAAACGATTTTATTGGCCTCCTAATACAGTAATATGAATACACGCTCTTATTATGAATGAAAATTTGTATATTGCATTAGGAAGTAGTCGAATAACTCGCACAAAATTATCGGATGATATTTTTAAATCTATATAGAGGAAATAGCTTGGTTATAATACCTGGATACATTACAAAAAAAAGTTTCGAAAAAATTGTATAAGATCCGGGTATTAAGATTTAATAGATTTAATTGAAAGTTATTGAAGCATAATATAACCATGTCACACTACCCCAGCTTTTTTGTACCCACTCTTGGTTAAGTACCCATGGGTATATTTCCATGTATAATACCCTTTTTTTTTTTTTTTTTTATAAGACCCGGGTACTAAAGGCAGTGCGATACGGTACCAGACAGTTATTTTTAGATCTCTCAAAACCGCATAACGATGAACGTTGATTTTCTTTTAAGGTAAAACAAAATAGGTGCAATAATATAACTTGAAAATCATAGATGAGAATTTTGCCAAGCATTTTGGTATTAACGTTAACTGGGCCAGTAAAAAAAGTAGATTATATAAGCATTCACACTTAACAAAACCGGAAAAGCGGTAAAACCAGGCTGAATGTGTAAGTGACATTTTAGGTAATAGTTTCAAATATATTATTCCGGTAAATCAAAATCGTACATTTCAATAAACATTTGTTAAGATAAATCAACTGTATAACTATCTTTCGATGAAGAAGATAATGCAATTGAAAATCCTAATAATAAATGATAAATAAAAATTTTGTTTACTAATTTTGTTTACTAATTTTATTTACTAATTTTATTTACTAATTTTATTTCCACATACTCCTATTTCACTTTCTGATTTCGGAATTCAAAACAGAAATAGATTTTCTAAACTCCCACTCCCACTTATTTTCGAAATTACATTTAGTTTCTTCTATTTGCAGTGTACTTGTTCTTCTATAATAAAAAAAAAAAAATACAATTCTTTAATTGTTTTCCTGTAATTTTTTTTTAAAAAAAATCTTGTTAGTTATGTTAGACGTAAAATTTATACCGATTAAAATATAACGTACGTCAAATTTTAATGAAAGTTCAATAAAACATTTTAAATATGTATTTTCTTTTTTTTTCTTTACAATATGGCTTCGAATACTTCATTTAATTTTTTCATTTCTTTCACTTCAAACCTTTGAAAATTGCTGCAACTATATAAATAATCGAAAAAATGAAAGACATAAAATGGATCGTTCAAAATATGTTCGCTGTCTAGCAGTTTTACAAAACCCGTCAATAAACTTGAAAGCTCGAGCTTTAAATATTAGGTTCCTATTACTGGTACTATCGCAGAAATGAATGTTAAATATAATAGACGTAACCGTGGCACTCAAGATAAAAAGTAAATATATAATTAACAAAAATATTGTTTTGACAATTTGATCCATTTTATTGATCTGCCTTAAAAAGATTCGCGTCGATTTTAATCAATATGACGTGACATGCACATTATGTTCGACTATGTACAGTATTTGGAAAGGTGAATTACTAATTTCTGGAAGAAGGTACAAACCTTTGAAAATAATTGTTAGCTGTTAGAGGTATCTTCATCACTAGATATAGTTCCTGACTACTTGAGTAGATTAAAATATATAGCAAGTGCGATTTTGAGTTGAAAAGCAGTGAAAAAATTCGATGATATGCATGCACATGAAATTTTTTATTTTAATATGAAGCATGTAATAATATAAGTGCGCACATACTTTTTAAACTGAATTTTTCACACTGTTAAAAAGAATGATATGCGAATGCTTCATATCTATTTGAATATCAAAATTTTTTTTAATATTGTGATGTTATCCCGTTTTACTAATTGTTTTCGCTATTATTTTTGGGCATAACTTGATACGGCTGTCAATTAATAAAATGAGAGAACAACACCTTTATTCCCCGTGAAGTGGTGAATAAATAGTACTTATCCTGATTCAAGATCCCACGATGGGGTTTTTTTTTGCATTATTATTATTTGGGGGGGCGAGTCAATTAAAATGGGTCCGGGTCAATTTTGCATCATATAGATTAAATTAACTATTTAATAAAAAATCTAGCTAGTTTATTTTAACAATTTATTATTTAATATTATAAAGACTAGTTAAGTTTGCTAATTAATATTTTAAATCTCAAGTTTTATAATACTGTATATACTGTATTTTAGTTTCGCAGCTGTTATCGTTATTCATGCTCTCAAAATTTTGTACCCCTGTAAATTAAAAATTTTTTAATTTTTTTAAAAAATTTGAGAGAAAATATCTCGACACCACCAAGACAAATTCGATAAACTTTTTTTATTTAATTCTGCGAGTTTGTAGAATTCAAATAAAAAAAAAAATCCATCAAATTTGACTTGGTGTTGTCGAGATATCCTCGCTCAAAGTTTGAGAAAAATTTTGACGCAGCTTTATTTTGATAGACATTAAGTCTTCTTAAAACTTTGAGCGAAGATACCTCAACAACACCAAGTCAAATTTGATGAACTTTTTTTATTTGAATTCTACAGTCTCGTAGAATTCAAATAAAAAAAAGTTCATCAAATTTGACTTGGTGGTTGTCAGGATATCTTTGCTTAAAGTCTGAAAAATTTTTAACTTACAGGAGGGTATAAACAAAATTGGGGGTGTGAATAACAGCCGACGTTTATAATATAAATTATATATATATATATATATATATATATATATATATTATATATAATTTTTTTTTTTTAAATCAATAAATATATAATTTGAAATTTAAAAAATATTTATAAATTTTATTAACAAGTTTGAATTTAAACTATAGTATATATATATTGTATATACTGTATATTGTAATAACTTTTTAAAACCCAAATTTTTATATCTAAAAATCTTTAAAAAAATAGATTTTTTACAAAATAAAAAAAGTTAACTATACAGTATTAAAAACCAAGTTTAAAATTAATATATATACAGTATATATTTATATATACTATATATATATATATATACGTAAAATTTGTTAAAAATTAAATAATTTTAGAAATAATTTAGATTTAACCAGAGGTGAAATTCACCAGCCTAAGAATTTTTAGGGTTAGGGTGCAGTTTTAAGATAAAGGAGGAGTTTTATATAACATAATGCTGTAATGTAGATATGATATAAGGTCCCGATTTCAGTTCACGTGAGGTTTTCGAAGGTCCTGAACATTTTTACATAGAATACCCGATCCCATTTACTTAGTACGTTTTTGAGATATAGCACCCCCGGTGAATTTCACCTCCGGTGAGTATTAAAATCGTCCTTTTTTTATTATATTTTTAATAATATTAATTTTATAACCAGAGGTGAAATTCACCAGTCTAAGAATTTTTAGGGTTAGGATACAGTTTTAAGATAAAGGAGGAGTTTTATATAACATGTAGATTTGATATAAGGTCCCAATTTTAGTTCTCGTGAGGTTTTCGAGGGTCCTGAACATTTTTACTTAGAATACCCGATTCCGTTTACTTAGTACGTTTTTGAACCCCTGGTGAATTTCACCTCCGGTGAGTATTAAAATCGTCCATTTTATTAATCTTCTCAAAATTTATTAAATTTTTATTTTTGTAACTAATTTTAAAAAGATAGTTTTTACTTGCTGGTTTAAGGTGTTCATACGTATAAAAATTTTTATCTGTTACGTATATGTACTGTACACATTAATTTTGATGATATACGTAGTGGTAGCTACTGGTAGCTATCTACCACTGGTAACTACCGGTAGTTACCGGTAGCTACCGTGAGGTTAATGATACGTATAAAGTGGTAGATGGTTAGCAGTTTATTAAATCTGATTGGTTGATTACAGCTTGCACTATATACACGTCACTCTGGGTATACCGGCATCATAGTAAAATCTTTCTATACCGACATTTTTTTAAAAAATTTTAATATAAAATGTCGGTATAACTCACTTTATCCGGCAAACTCATATGATCATGAAAAAATTTCTTTTTGTTATTTTTTTCATTTGTTACGATGTAATTATGTTTATTCCAATATTCAAAATTAAAACTCAGCGAGCGACTCCCTACCAATCATGATCATAAATTGCCGGATAACACCAATATTGGGCAAATTGTCGAATACGGTAATTTGACAAATGATTGGTTACATGTGCCGCAAAGCGGCACGTGCTCATTTGCCAAATTACCGATTTTGGATTTTATTATTAATGTCTCAAAAATGTCGATATAACCAGAGTGACGTGTATCAGATATACATAGGTAGAAATCTGAACTGCTATACGTACTACCGTAGGAGGAAAATTCACATTACACATATATGGTTACACGTTGAGTTTTTTATCGGTGTTTCGAAAACTCAGAAACCCAAATTATTATGTCGACGGACGTTTCAACTACTGGTGTAGAAATTGACCACCTTAAACACGAGATTGAACCTAAAGTAGCCGAAAAAAAAGTGACTACTAGTGGTGTAAAATCGTTCCTTGCGGGAGGGTTTGGAGGAATATCAGCTGTACTCGTTGGTATATATCAAAATATCGGCATACAGATGCAAAACGCTTTAATTATTCCCGACTATTTATTATTATTATTATTATTATTATTTTGTTTCAATAAGGGCATCCATTTGACTTGGTCAAGGTTGGTACATGGTATCATGTTATGGGATTATTTTACAAACCTAGTGAAAAATTTATATGAAAGATATATTAAATTAGGTACGATTACAAACTGCACCTGAAGGGACCTACAATGGTACGGTTGATGTTGTAAAAAAAACGATCGCAAAGGATGGACTACGTGGGTGAGTTACATCGTCAATCATTTTTTTCTATTCATCGGTTATCATTAATATTTTTTGATGTTGATCCAGTTTATATCGTGGTATGGGACCTCCACTAGCTGGTATAACACCGATTTTCGCAATAAGTTTTTGGGTGGGTTTGCATAGTTAATAATCGGAAGTTATTACAATATATTTTACCGATTATTTTAATACATTTTAATAGTCTTATAACCTTAGTAAACAAATTGTGTACGCACTTACACCAAATCGCAAATCACAAGAGCTCAGTATATTGGAATATACGATTGCCGGTGGTTTATCCGCGGGTCCAACCACATTAGTAATGGCACCAGTTGAAAGGATTAAAGTGATATTACAAATTCAAGGTCAAGGTGGTGAAGTTAAATATAAAGGACCACTCGATGTAATACGTCATCTTTATAAGGAAGGTGGTTTACGTAGTATTTTTCGCGGAACTGGCGCTACGTTGCTCCGAGATGGTCCAGGATCAGCTGCCTATTTCGGAGCTTATGAGCTTACAAAAAGACTTTTAACACCTCCTGACTCAACATTGAATCCTGCTGCGGTCTTATTTGCTGGTGGTAAGTTATTATTTTTAAATTTATTATGATTATTTTTAAATTTATTATGATTATTTTTAATTTTATTATGATTATTTTTAATTCTTTTAATTTATTACAAATAATATCTAGGTATGGCTGGTGTTGCAATGTGGACAATTGCTATTCCACCAGATGTTATTAAGTCGCGTCTTCAGTCTGCTCCTTCTGGTCAATATAAAGGCTCTATGGATGTGTTACGTCACTTGCTTAAGACGGATGGACCATCCGCTTTATTTAAGGGTATTGGTCCTGCGTTATTAAGAGCTTTCCCTGCAAATGCCGCGGCTTTTATGGGATACGAAGCTAGCTTAAAAATGATGAATGCATTATGGTAGAATTAAAAAGGTTAATGATTTATATTCACGATACTGCAGTACAAAATACATTGAATACAAACAATATTTAATTTTATGTCATACCTAGCTGATTGTATATGTGATTACTACGACTTTTTATTTATGTCCTGCCTGCCTATGCGCTTGGAGTTTTGGAGTTTTTTTTTTTTGTGTTCAGAATCGGTTCTATTTTTCGCATGTGAAAAACCCGGTTTCGATCGGTTTAATATACGAACAAATAAGATCGATTCTAAGTTCACTTCTTGTGATTATAGAGTCAATATTTAATTGTGTCTCTGATTTATTGTCAATGTATTCTTGTTAACGAGCTAAAACTGATTAGCCAATCACGCGTGCGTGGACATTGTCTAACGTTCACTAATTTTGTAAGTCAAAACATGATTATTGACCAGCCAAATGTCAGACTAAGAATAGCGCAGATCTACAATAGCATAAATTTGATTTTACCGCAGAAGCATATGCGACAGCATATTCGTATATCAGGACGAATTTCGCATAACAATAGAGCATAATCTGCGTATATAATGACCGGAAATAAAGATAGAGTAATATCGGGTTTACTAATTTCCCATCCAGTTCCTATTGGACGCAAAGAAATATTTTTTTTATTTGGACAAAACTTATACAAAAATTATTTAAATTGAATTTATTTAAATATATATATATATACATTTCTTTAAATTTTAAATATATATTCTTTAGCATTTAATATTCTTTTGTTTAAAGTTTTGGTTCTTGATTTTAAGTAAATCTTTTACTAAAGTTAATCAATTTCTATGTTTTTTTAAGTCAAAATAACTAACTCACTCAAGCAATAATATAATTGGTTAAAATGGTTTTTTAAAAATTAAAAAAAGAAAGATTTCTTCTATAATCACTGTAGATTATTAAAATTGGCTTGGTGGGTTTTAAGATACTTGGGTTAAAGAAAAAAATACAAAAATTTGTAAATTTGTTATTACACAAAATATTAAATACTTCATATAATAGTAAATTTGCAGATTTTTTTATTTTCTTTTTTAACCCAAGTATTTGGAATTTATTAAGCCAATTTTAATGATCTAGCTACTATTAGAATTAGAAAACCTTTTTTACAACTTTATTTAAAACTTTTATTTAGTAAAATCTTTTTTTTTTTTTTTTATATTAAGGTAACCACTTAGATCCCTTGACACTTAGCTTTATTCAATATGTATAGAACATCATCAAAGAAAATAATTCTATAAAATTATTAGTCAAATAAATTAAAATCTGTAGTAAAAGATTCTGTTGCAAAGAATTTCTACGAAAACTATTATCAGTTAATTTTTTATTGCTACAAAATCATTCTAACATTAGAGTATATAAAAAACAATAAAAAATATGATTAATCATTAATTACATTATTCTATCAATACTTTCTATACATTTTGGATAATTTAATTATTAATTGTTAGAAATTAATTATTAATTTAATAATTCTTTATTAACAATTAAAAATTAGAAATTTCCATTACTAATTGTACCATATAAGTTAACATAAATCTAAATATATACTAAAATATATACTTTTACTTATCCAATTTTTCTAACTTACTCAACAAATATCTAATTCAATACCCTAAAAATTCACTTTAAACCAAGTGTCCAACTTATATCCAAATTAAAAATAAATTCCAACTTGTTAAATTCTTCCTTAATTATTAATACTAACAAAACTTATACAATAAAATTAAACAAAAAATAGAAACCTAGAATAAAACCTTTATAGAAACACCTAAACTATTTTACAAAAATATTTTTAAAAAACATAACAACATTAATATTGACTGTTTTTTACTTAATAATACATTATTAACAGAACACAACAAAATCTTAAATCAAATACATGACTATTTCTCTAAATATTTTTTAGAAAAACCTCTATACTCAATCCCTTCTGACTTTCAACAACTCTATTAACTGTATCCAGAACTCAAATTTAATTATAATGAACTATTTGAAACAATTACAGATCAGAAATAGTCTGGAATAATCTTCAACCTTTTAAACCAAAAAGTAGCAAGATTTTTAAAAATTTGCTATGAATACATTAAATATACTAGTCTTTTAGCACAAAACATTCTCAAATTCTTTATTAACAAATATCTTTAACTACAAAAAATCCCAACAGAATAGAAATCTTCAAATATCTTTCTTATTTCAAAAAATATAACTAGAATTTTACACTCAATCAAGTTTAATCTATATCTATTATCAAATTTTTTAAAAAGATATTTACCAAAATCTTTACTAACTATCTAAACAAAATAATCTTATCAAATAACCTTCTCTTAATTCTAAACTTTGCAGTATCTAAAAATTTCTCAACATACTGTATACCCCAATTTATATCTTATATAATACTATTAAATACTATCCCTTAAACTGTAGACAATTCCAGGCAAATTTGCCTGGAAAATTGCTATAAATTTGTTTATAATTTACTTT